CGATCCCTTTCTTTGGTCATTGGATGATCGTCTTTTGTTTGTATGTAGGGCAAAGGATAATAGATCAGCTGCATCGGATTCTCCGTTTATTGACGAAGTTTGTGATTACTTTCGTCTTTTGCTTGTAGAGTACTCGATCCCTTTCTGTGGTCATTAGATGAACATTGTTTTGTTTGTAGAGCATTCAGTCCCCTTCTCTGACTATTGGATGATCGTCTTTTGTTTGTATGTAGGGCAAAGGATAATAGATCAGCTGCATCGGTTTCTCCGTTTATTGGCGATGTTTAACGATTACTTTCGTCTATTGTTTGTAGAGTATTCAATCTCCTTCGTCTTTTGTTTGCAAAGCGCTCAATCCCCTTCACTGACCGAAGGATAGTAGTCTTTTGTTTAGATATAGGGCAGAGGACGAGGATCAGCTGCATCGGTTCCTCCGTCTATATTTACGATTACCTTCGGGTGGGTTCCATTCATAAAATGCCAGAACGAGATTACTCGACTTTCTCCCCACGTGATGAATGCTGAATGGACGTTGATATTCGTCGAGAACGGGTTTGTTTACAGTGTGATGACATTACTTCTGTCGTATCTTTTTTTATTTCTCGAAATTTCGTTGAAAACCGGTTGGCTTGTACCGTAATGAGATTCTTGTCTTGTGAATCCCTGACACTGAAGAAATATCGAGACAATGGGAAAGAAGCAAAAAAATAAAAAAAAGGAAAAAGCGCCATATAACTTTCACACATTCACCCTTATCTTTACATCAGATATGAAGAGATATTCATTACGTAACAATACGCGTGTTGCAGTGCTATCGAAGCGTCTACATAACATAAGAAGCTTACGTCATATTCAACAGCGTTTATCAAAATTAATTTCTTTAAATTGATGATGAATCTATCTTTTATTCTTAATTGTCGGTCATATATATAAACGTGCGTGTGTGTATAAATATATCTATATCTCTTCTGTAATGAACATTGTATATGTATCCATCTACCTGACCATTAGTCATTCAATATAACACACTGTCTATCTAATGATCTATCTAGCTGTTTGTTTGTTTGTCTATCTGTATATCTAGATGCCTGTTTGTTTATTTATCTGCCTATCTATCTATCTATCTACCTATCCATCTATCTGTCTATCTATCTATCTATCTATCCATCTATCTATCTATTCATTTACCTACCTACCTATATACTATACTATCTATCTACCTACCTATCTATCTGACTAACTACCTCATTGCCCATCTATCACTAAACCTATCTATTTACCCAACCCGCCCATCCGTCTTAACAAACACTTCAACGCCACTCCTGCTGGAAGTCGCATAGCACGGTGTTGACCCCAAACCACGCCGGTGTTGAGAGCACGCGCGCCGGTGTTGTCAGGGTGTTGATAACGGAACTTAAAGGTCTGGTTTATGGAGGGGCGGGGTTTATGGTGGGCGGGGTTTATTGTGGGCGGGGCTTATGGTGGGCGGGGCTTATTGTGGGCGCGTAATTAAGATCAAACCGTTATTTGGAGTTCAGTTATGGTGGAGGGTGGATGGGGGGGGGGGTGGAGGTGGATCAGGGAGTGGTGGAGAGTGGATAGGGGGGGTGGGGGTGGGTCAGGGGAAGGGTGGAGGATGGGGGGGGGGAAGGTGGAACAGGGTGAGGGGTATTTGGTGGGGGGGGAGGTGGATGAGGGGAAGGGTGGAACATCAATTTACTTGTTTGTTTTTGTTTTATATTTGCCTCGGTGTTTCGTTATTCTTCTGCATCTGTGTATTTGTCGGTACTTACGAGAACTGGGATGGAAATGGAATAAGGACTTTGTAGGGACGATAATAACGCCACTAATGCTAGTTGTTTTTCTTGTTTTCTGTTTTTATTAAAATTATCATTATCACTGTTACTGTTACTGTTATTATTCTGCTTCTTCTTCTCCTCTTCTTCTTTTCTTCCTCCTCCTCTTCCCCCTCCTCCTTCTTTTCTTCTTATTGTCATTATTATTATTATTGTTATTATTATTGTTATTGTTATTATTATTATTATCATTATTGCTATTGTTGTTGTTGTTTTGTTGTTGTTGTGAGTATCATTATTATTACCATT